TCTCACTGATCTGTCTCGTTAAAGTATTGGAAAAAAAGGAAAGAAAAAAGAAAAAAAAACAAAAACAAAAGCAAGAACAAAAAACAAAGGAAACAAACAAGCAAAAAAAAATTCGTTAGTCAATTAGGTAGTTGAATTAACAGCAGCAAAGTATTTTTTTCTTGAAACTCCTGTCATGCTCGCTTTGACCGTATTGCATGCAGTCTCCTGTCCCGCAATAGCACGCCCAAATTACTCCGAACTACATGATAGTTAATCTAGACCTTGCAAACATTCAGCTTGTGATTGGTTCCCGTATCAAGCTTGGGAGAGTATTCATCTGCATATCCCAAGAAGTAACCAATGACGATGTAATGTTGCCCTATGGGGCGACTGGCGCACATGGGTACGGTAAGGATCATCCTGTGACATCCAGACATCCAGTTACTGTTGGTATCACCAGCTAGGTACTGTGTACACATTTAAGTGGACAGCGCGTATGCTTGGAAAGCAAAAGTCAATTGATTCATGTAGATAGATGTGTCCTCCAAGTCAGGTTCAGAATACCCCTCAATCCCATACGCCGAAGCCGCAGCTTGGCGCAAGGTTACGTGCACAGAAATGTGATCTATCAGATGCAAGCTTGTTCTGACAGAAGAGTATATCCCGACAGTTACTGTATCACCTCATTTTGTTTCTGCCAATTTATGAGGGTGTATTTGATGTACCTGATTCGAACATTCTCAAGACTTTCGTCTACCCTCGTTGATATTGTATTTTGATATGATGCTGGTGCAGATTAAGGGCCAGGCTGAGTCATGGGGGTTTCCTCGGAGTATGTTTACGATGTATGTAGTTGATTATTTCTATTATGTGTATTCAGTCTCATGCTTGCTTTCGAATAAATATTGTAAAGTTGATTCCTTTCAATTGCTACATATTCCTGGAAAGAGGCAAGTGGAGTGCAAACACTGCAGGCCTGAGACAAGATCTCGTATGCAGTAGAAATGTTGCCGAGCATCTACCGATCAAATCCTCTACCAGATATTCTTGCCGCTGCTTTGGAGTCTCACGCGTATGTTTAAGATATTGGTGAGTATGACAATGGTTGATAAATCAGTCACATCAGGAGGCGTCCGTCGCTTTTCTGCTTTTACACATATTTCGATAAGTGGGCTCCCATTGTTGCGCATAAATGTCTAAGCACTTTTGAGCTGAGAGATGTTTTTTTTATAGCTCGGCGATCAGAGTGTTGACAGCCCTGGCCTGTGGAGTAGCTGTTATATTGACACAGGCTTCCGTTCTATAGCCATTCAAAGCCTCTAGTAAAAGCGACGTCGGGTAATGTCCCCTGATATGTACTCATGTACTCATTTACTGCTATTTAGGATGTGGGGTCTCTTAGTATGGCAGCACTTAATTCGATAGCCTAGCCTCATATTCTGGGTCAAAGCAAAGTGCAAGCCTTCAATTTACAATACAAGCGGCATGTTTTCCGCAGCATTAATTGCAATCCGTCCGGCCTAGCTGGTATAAGACCCACCCTGATCTCATTCTGTGTCCAAACAATCAGACGGCCCCATGGCAGCGTGGCTTGATCTTGTCAATGAAGACGGAGCCTGGACTTTGGTCGATACCGGTCGTCTGGAGGAGTTGGTGCAGGGAATGCCATCTCCGAAACGCCAATGTCCATCTTTGGTCTACTTCGCTGGGAACTCGAATCGTCTGAAAGCTCTGCGAGCGCTGAACCCCCACAATAATGTCACACGCAAAGGTCCCGCGGGCTGGATTCGTCTTCACCTGGGTGGGAGATCCGGTCATACTGAAAACCCGGTTCTTTTTGCCGAGAGCAGCCTGCTTCTCGAGAAAAGCCAGGGCGATTCCCGATGGCGCAAACACCGTTCGACTCAGCGACACCGGCGATATGCTATTCAAGATGACGAAAAATCTTGTTTACCGGCAAAATTACACCAAGAAGTGAAAGCTCAACTCGTTCTGCCATGGACCCAGATTCTTTGCCTGTTCATCAATTCTCAATCCGACTTGCAGTCTGCCCGAGACCTGTTGCAGCAGCCCCGTCGACGACTTGCGGTTGGCAGCCAGCCTGTTTCTACCTCCATGCGAATAGTCATCGTCTTGACCAAGCACAACGATTCGGATCCTATGCCAGCGCGACACCTGGCCGATTTCGAAGCATTTGCTGAGACTGGAGAGACCGTCGTTCTGGATCTGCGACCAAGATGTGGCCTCTCCGATACGGTTGCATTCGAACCTCTTCGGGCTCTCCTTGTCGAGCAGCTGTCCGCCATTCGGGATCAGCAAGCGTCCCCCGGAGATCACGTTTCAGCGTCTCATCTAGGCGCCTTCTGGAAATCGTTTATTCAAAGCTACAAGCGATGTCGAATCGCACCGCCCTTTGATCTCCTGACCGAAGCCCGGAGAGGTTATCCCGACGACGGAGCCATGGGTCGCTATCTTCGAGAAGGCGCTCAGATCGTCATATCGGCTGGCTGCGCCGAGGATGAGATGCAGGTCTTTGTGGCCTCGGCCATCCTCATGCATGCGTACCCCCCTGAAATGCACGGTAAGATCACAGTTCTCGTTTCAATGCTCACACTGACACGCGTAGGTTTCTCCCCGCCCATTGTCTTTGCTGCACTGTATGAGAAGCATTGTGCCGAAATTTCGAGTGAAGGTGCCACTCGCAGTCTCTGCGACGGTATCGGTTCGCATTTCAAACGGCTTTTCCTGCAACTGAGCGCCAACAACACCTCTGCCACGGCTCGAAAGGGTATCTTGCAGCGTTACTTTCGCCAATGGGGAGGCCTTTATTCCACCACGACCTGCATGGTATGCTTGTGTCGGCCGCCCGAACACATGATGCCATGCAAACATGCACTCTGTGACACCTGTGTCGTAATCTTTGGCAAGTCAAGTTCCCTCGGTGAGTATCATTGGGACCTCACTGAATGCCCCGTCTGTGAAGAGACTTTCCTCGCCCGTATACGCCAATTACCCCCTACGAAGCACCCGGTGGTCCTCAGTTTGGACGGCGGTGGCGTCCGCGGGCTGATCCAACTGGGCCTGCTGCGGGCGTTGGAGAAGCGCATTGGCTTGCCGATCGAGTCTCTGCCCGACTTGTGTCTCGGAACGAGTGTTGGTACGTTCCGCGCTTCCTCCTTTTCCACCACCACGCTAACAGTACTATGCGCAGGCGCGTTGACGGCGATTGATCTATTTCTGAACCACTCTTCAGTCGAGCAATGTGCGCAGGCATTTCCCGACCTAGCGCGAAAAATATTCCGTGCTTCACGGGTCCCGGCGCCACGATTCGTTCGATGGTTGGCTTCGGCTTTCAACGTGATCCCCAGTAGTTTGTATGACTCACAGAATTTAGCCCAGACCCTAAAAGAGGCAGTGCCCGCGGACCGTCGTATTTTCGACGTGACCACCGCCAGTCCTGCCGGATGTCGGGTTGCCGTCGTTGCGAGTCGCACATCTGACGGCAAGGCCTGCGTGCTTGCCAATTACCGAGGCACGGGCCAACGCCGTGCAGACGCCGCCTACGAATTTTTGACGCCCAGCCACGACCAAGAGAATCCATATCTGTGCGACATGTGAGTTGACTTCTGCGAACAACTCTTGCGATTTGTGGGTCACAGTGCAGAGAGCTAACTTTTTTCTTTCACCAGAGCCGAATGCAGTGTCGCAGCGCCCTTGTAAGTGAAAGACCATCGATTCGGAACCAGCACGGCTAACACGCGGCAGCTATTTTCAGCCGAGACGACTACCAGGCTTCGGCCCTTTCCAAGATGGCGGAGTACGCGCGAACAACCCGCTCGCCATTGCGTGGAGGGAGTCGGGCGTCATCTGGCCGCGCGCGAAACGACATGATCTGCTTTTATCGGTTGGCACGGGATGTACCGCGCTTGATTCTGCGCAATGCCCGCAATATTCGACCTGGGACGGCGCGCTCCCTCGCTTGTTTCGCGCCACAATGTCATCGCCCTCGATGGACGGCCCCCAAGGGTTTCTGGAAGCCTTGAATTACTTACCGCATTGGTCGAAACCGGATGTACTTCGACTCGATCATGCCATCCCTGGTCCGCTACCCGAACTAGATGACACCAGCGCATTACACCAATTATCCGAAATGGAGTATCTCATTCCAGTCGAGCTGGTGAGAACGGTGCTCGCATCCGCAATGTTTTTCTTCGAGTTTGACGCCACTCCTGTCCCGGGTCAGGTCGGATTTCACTGCGAAGGGTCCATCTTTTGCTCACGGCCGGGGGCTGGCGAGATCCTCGCGCGCTTCTTAGTTGAGATCCCTGGTGCGAAATTTCAGATTGGTCAGGATCATTCCCTGGGTGATGTAGACCCCAATGACCGCTGCGAACCTTGCGGATATTACAGAAAACGCGTCGCCTTTCACGTTGCCAGTCTTGAAGAGCGCTTTAAGATCAACATCGCCAATGGTGTCTGTTGTGAGAAGATTGGCGGATTTCCAAAGTGCGCGCAGGAGTTTCTTGAAGCGCAGCAGGCCTTTGCTCACTTTGGCCGTGCAGACCATCAAACGCCATCCTGGCCGCCCGTGAGACACTGCTACTGTGCTTGTGAGGCAAAGAGGACGATTCGTTTCGTAGAGCCGACGGCACGACAGAAGCGAAGGCGGCTATGATGTTGATGGCCCGGTCGATTGTGAGTCTCACAACTCTCGTTATATGCAATGGGGCGTTCAATCCTTCGGGTTTGGCTTACAGATCATACTATCGTGGCTGTCGCAAGAGAGAAAACAAAATAATGTGTGTTGTTTGTTGAAGTGATTTCTTGCGCTCCACGGAGCACCGCTGGTAGTTAAAGAGAGACTAAGCTTCGTAGTATGTTGAGATCCACCATTACAGAGCCGACATAGGACACGCTAGCTCAAATGTCAACGGCCCGATCCTGATTTGATATTTTTGTTCTAGTCCTTGACAAACACTCGCGCCTAGAAAGATCACTCCTGCTGAACTTCCGACACCATGAACGCCTTCCGTAAAGCCCTCTCCGTCCATTTTCGCGACAGCGCCACAAGCATCTACAGTCGGCCTGCTGACCCTGCACAAGATACCGAGCTCATCGCAATGACCGCTGTTGCTCCGCCACTTCAAACCGCCTTCCCGGAAATCAACTCACTCGATCACCAGATTGCCATGGCGGGAGGGTCTACGATGGCTGTGGAAACGACGCGACCCCGACTCAGGATGTCAAAAAGATGTCCCAAGACCACGCCTCAGGCACTCAAACAGCAGTGGCTGCAACAGCGAAAATAGCAAGAGCGAGAGAATGAGTTTTACACCGATTGTTTCAAGAATTTTCACCAACTCGTCGCGACCGTCATGGACTCCACTCAGGATCTGGCGCTGCAGTACCATTTCAGCCCTGGAGCAAGTCCCACTAGAGATCCTCGCCTGATCCGGACAATCGTATTGCTTCGAACGGCTTTGGACAAATCACGCACGGAGGAAGCGCAGGCGGAAACCAAATGGAAACGACAGTGTGGGCTATCGGATAAAAAAATTGCGACGAGATAGTTATGAGGCGAAGGGTCTTCGGTTTCCTGGCTACGTTCCATGGGTCCGAGACAAATATTCTACGTGGATCCATGAGACCTGTGAACATTTCGACTGTAAGCTAGATGAATACCAGACTTCTTGCTTCGAAAATGAATGCGTATCTCTCTCAGCGGGTGCTACATCATACAACAGTCAGATCAGTGCTCTGGTGACTCGTTGGCTAGTCTGTCGCATTTCTTAGCTTAGGAAAACTCGAGCTGCAGAAAACATCGAATTTGGGTCTCCATGCGATGCTCGATGTCTGCAAGAACCCTTTTCGTGGCCTCTGGCAATAATTGCAATCGGCGTCCCAGCTGCTCGGGGTGAGCGCTGCACAACCGTACTTGCATTCTCACTTTATCTCTCAGCTGAGCTTGCAGGCGGTTTGAGGTATGAATCATGGTCTTCACGAAGCGATAAAGTTCACGAAGGCTCCTTGAGCTTCTTCCGCCGGCGATGGTTTCCACAAAGCCGATCGCGTGTTTGACCATGCGAAGCACGATTTCCTGGACTTGTGGAATGCGGTAAACAGAAGCGTGGCGAATGTTACTGATCACGCGATGCCATTTCTGAATTGATTGTGCCTAGACCTTGCCATATGGGAGTTTTTAGTGCCGTGGGGGCCAAAACCATGGGACTTTTTTTCTGATTTTCATGCCAAGACTATTGGATCTAGCCTATTTCGGTAATTATCTAACCTAAATAGGTAGTCCCATGGGAAATGGGACTAGAATTTCCAAATCTCCCATGGACATGGGACTAGAATTTTCGAACTCCCATGGGAAATGTCAAGGTCTAGATATCATACCTCTCCGAATTATCTGCGACCAATATAAACATGAGGATATCTATAATATGGACGAATCTGGATTATATTGGCGACGGATACCTAACGGAGGTCTCTCTAATGGAAAGATAGCCGGGCAAAAGCGAGATAAAACCCGGGTTTCTATTGTTGTTGCGACAAATGCGACCGGTACAGACCGTTTACCTTTATAGTTAATTAGGACTGCAAAAACTCCTCGCGCTCTCCGGGGTGTTAATATCCTAGCTTTAGGCTATGTTTGGCGCTGGAATAAGAAAGCCTGGATGCGTTACGGTATTATGGAAGAATGGTTACGCTCCTTTTATAGGCATATTTCTAAGGATAGACGAGTATTATTGTTACTGGACAACTGTTCAGCGCATACGGTCGGCTTTGCAAATGCACCACCACCGCCCTATATTCGGGTCCTTTTTTTCCCAGCGAACGCAACCTCGGTTTATCAGCCGTTGGACTAAGGAATTATCCAAAATATCAAACACTATTACCGGAAGAAATAGATACGTTGGATGATTGCTATCCTTGATCGTGGACTTAATCCTAGTGAGAAGATGAGCCTTAGATATACACTTCATTAGATTACTTCAGTATAGAGACATAATGTATCGGACCAAACTATCCAGAACTGCTTTTTTAGAAGTGCGATGGTTGATCCAATCTCTAATCCTATCACTCAGGAGCAAAATGAGCTGCATACGGAGATTAGGGCATTATATGATCAAGCAACCAAGCTTCTTGGAAACGCCCATAATATCATGCCATTGGGCGAGTTCTTAGACCATTTGGACGAAAATGAGGCACCTGAGCTTGATATATATGATGAGCCTCACGTTGGTGAACATATATATAGTGCTCCTGAAGATGCCGAGGAGGAATATATATCTGGGCCCCCTCTAGAGCTTCCATCTAATTCCGACGTACTAGGCTATCTACAGGATATTTTACTATGGGTTGGGAATAAAGAAAAGGGCACTCAGCATCATATTCGACAGATTGAGGGTTTGATCGACGATTTTACTAGGGTTCAGCTTGATGAGAAGCGTCAGGTGACTTTGAATGATATGTGGAGAGAAACCTAGATAGGAAATAGGGCTTAGGGCTAGACAATAGGAGATAACGTCATGAATTCAGATTTGTCACAATTCATATATGTCACCTAATTTCTTTTGGATGGAGGGGGGTGATATAAGTGGAAGTTGACTGTACTTTTGTTTTATGTACCTTTTTGCTGTCATGGATCCACCAAAATTGGTAAACTTTCAAAACAAAACCAATTATAGTGATATTAAAAACTAATTGACATAAGTTTGTATGCGATTGGATACGATATTGTGTTTCCTATCCATTCTACACGTTTTTGTGGATGATCTTGGCGCCATGGTAGTAAACAGTGGATTTCTAGGTGGTCCATGACAACCTGTAATCCACCACTCTAACATTTTGTAATTTTTTGCTTGAAAAGAGGTCTCGAAGAAGAGATCAAATAAAGATTGATTCTGCTGCTCTCAGCAATATCAAATATGTGGATCGGGAGTGACAAGTGTCGAATATGTAAGTACCTGGTGGACGTTTCATCACACAGGGCATTTCATGTCACCGGGATGGGGGTTACTACAGTCAATTCAATGCGGCATGACTGCGGTACACTCAGTGAAAATAATTTCAGTGGGCGATGGCTTAGACCCTGAAAATCCGATTATCAACGAATGAGGCGCTGGTGCAGACTTCCTCAAAACACAGCATGATGGTCGGCCTCTGTTTTAGATCAACAGCCAATGCTGAAGCTCAGATGATGGTGATGAAAGTGCATGCTGTCGCATTCGAGCGATGATCGCTGCCCATCGTGTTCAAGTGTTGAAAATACGGTCGTTGAGACAAGGTTGATCGTTGATCAACGCTCTTCAGGACAAATAATAATTAAAGGGTAAAATTTTTTTTAATAATTTATTATTATTTTGAAATTTCAGGAAATCACTTGGAAAATGACTGTTCACTTTTCACTTGCCTGTTGTTGATTTTTGCCTGGTGTGTCACCTCAGTAAGTCGAGATTCAACGGGCCTGGCTTTGCACAGGCAACTTCGATCCCCCCAAAAGCAATGCCCCCCAAAAGTGACAGACTAAAAAGACTTCACCGCGGCAATACAAAGCAGGCGGTAACAAGACCAGTCAATATACCTATAAATATGGCCTTCTCCCCCGGTACCCTGTCGAAACAGTTCTCTTCCTTACTGCCTCCGAAGGATCCCTCAAGCCAAAACGAAGGTGCCTTCCTGCAGCAGACTCATAAGTCCATCCTCTTTGGCTCCAAGCCCTTGCTGTTACTAATACTCACGGTGCACAATCGGACCATGAACCTTGACTGGCCACAATCCTTTGGTGAGTGCTGTATCCATGTGCCTTGTCGAGTTGAGCTAACGACGTGACTACTCACTAGCTTTTTGACCACAACAGTGCAAGTGAGGCATCCTGCAGGTAAGTCCTTTGTCAGCTACATACCATCGGACCCTGCTGAAACACCCAATATTACGACCAGCCGGGTCTTGTCAGATACGAGGCCCCAAGTCAGCACTTTTAGGGTTATAAAACTACCTGCCAGTCCTACCGATAACAAAATCCCCATGAGACCAACTTTGGTTCCCTGCTGACATGTGCTTGTCAAACAGGGCCTTCAGTGAGTCCATCAGCCAGACCTCCGAGTTTTGAGCACCGCCACCTAGACCCCTTCCCACGCACATCTCGCCGTTATCCTGAATGATTCGATGTCCCGATAGTGTCTCAATCAAGGCTACCTGTGCACTTCATCACATTCGTTCGTTAGAAACGTCTGCTCCGTGCTTCTGCCTCATAACTACCCATCGATCGTCAGCCTTGATCTTGACTGGAGGGCACACCGACGAAGACGACCTCGTGAGCCTGCGAGACGGAAGATGCGTTGGGTTAAATTTGAGGTCAGACTTGTCCTTGCACGACGATAGCTGCGTGATCATAGCGGCGTCATGTGTTGTTGGTGCAAGACGAAAGTGGAATGAAAGACCGTGAGTGAATCCTCATTATCAGACACATGCTGACCATCTTGCAGGGCCACTAGCCAAGACGCTGGCAGAGATGACGGACAGGTCAACGAGCCTCGCACGCGTCTTGCACCGTCGCTACCTCCTCCATGAAGCGATGTATCTCGCTTTGAAAGCTGTTTCGAAGTGTGAAAGTCGACGTGAATGGAGGTTGCCCGATCCCTCCACTCTTTTGCCTCACCCGCAAATGCTGACCGAGAACACCGGCTGTAATTCCACATCCTTGGATAGTTGAGGCAACCATGCGACCAATACACCGACCGAGAACACACGATTCTTGATGAGATGATGAAGCCTCAGTCTGGTAAGCTTGGGTATCGAGGGACCCTTTCACGGTGGGTCCGGCTTCCTCACCTGCGGAGGGTATGAGTAAGAAGGATGCCGGAGATTTATCCGGTGGTGAACTGATCTTGCTGTTGAAGACGGATCTCATTCGTCATGAAACAGGCCAAGCAGGTGGTCATTGAGTATGGAGCCCTGGCACAAGGCTTGTCGCTTTCTGCTATTCTCTCCTTGCCTCTGGTGAATGTCCTTCTCGCCAGAGGAAAGAGATCCATCGCTTTTGACGACAAGGATTCTTTCGAAGAGACACGCGGCTGTCTTGCAACAGCAGATCGCAGACATTTCGCTCATCCCCTTCATGCATAGCAAGCGACAGCGCCAACTCCCTGCGGATCAAGAATCGATAATAGCCTTGTAGGTACTTAACGTGATACCTGTTATGGTTACACTACCCCTGACCTTCGACAACAGATCCTGACATTCTCACATTAGCAGGACTCGCTACCTATTGGACTCGCTGCCTATTGGACTCGCCAGTAGAACGGATGAAGTATCCTTTCGGTCCTAGCAAGAGACAAATTATGAGGTTGAAAATCTAGACAAGAATGCCCAGACCAAGTGAAGGGGCTCTCCTTCTACAGTGCAGTATACCTTAAGAAGCCTCCTGCAGAACGTCACCCTTCGCCGAGCATATAAGCCTATAGGATCTACCAGGAAACATTGCTCCAATTATTGAAAAGAATGCCACTAGGAGATAGCACATCAACGAATCATATTACCACCGTAAGGTTCATCTCGGTGAAGATCGTCGTCTATATTGGTCAATACTCATTCTAGCCGATCCTTCCCGCATCTCATGCCGATCCCTTACTTCCCTCGTCGATCCTTCCTGCATCCATGTCAATTCCCTCCTCGATCTCATTCCTGGATCACCAAATACTGTGCCACTTTACAAGACACGAAGAGCTACATATTAACGATTTGCGTGACAGCGACTGCTATGTCCCTCTGAGAAGAAGTTACCTTGAGCCTATTTAACCTGCCCCTGTTCCGCCTGGTTGTGATGAACATTATTCCCCATTTCGTTGCACCATCTCTAATACCTCGATACTTTAGTATCATTCTGCTTCCTTTCCTCAACACGCCCTCAAGATGTTGCCACACAAACTCTTCATCTTGGTCGTGGGTTTTATTTGTCCAGTCTTTGCCAGTGCTATACCATCCCTAGTACTTGCACGTTCTGATTTGACGAGCCGCAAGCCGCGTGAAGATTACTGCACTGATGCTATCGAGCAATACAGTACAAACGAAGCAAACTGGATGAAATTCCGCCATTGTCTCTGGGTGAACCCTGAGACCAAGGTCGCTGAGCTGTTTACCTACATTGATGACGTTATGTACAAAAAATTCCTTGTTTGGCAGCGGCCATCTGATTACGATTGGAGAGTGATGGCGCACTGGCGGGGTGATATACTTGTCCAAGACTCTGGGAAAGCATCTGGCACATGGGTTAAGAACAACATTGGGGTAATCGACGACTCAATTAAGCCCGGACGCCACCAATGGTATATCACGCTGTTCATCTCCATGGAGTATGGTCAAGGCCTGAATTCCAACCGCGAGTTTACCTTTGACATTGACTCTGAGTAGTCCTCCCGGTCTATTGAGGTTACTATTATTTAAGTCAGTGTTCTTGACCCGTTCCAGATGCGAGCCCTCGCAGCCTTGAAGCACTCGAAAAATGGACTGACATGTATACAAAATTCTAGAATCATCAGTAACGCAGAATCACCTATTGAGAGGTAATAGGCCAGGTTGGGCAATTGTACTTGGGAAATTACGTTCAAACGGACAGCTCAGCGAGTGCATCACTTCAAGCTATCATGCACGGAGAGGTTTTTGAACTCTGCCGCTAGGATTTCCTTTCAATATTGAACTTACCACTCTTCAACAGACGCTCTGTCGTACTTCGTTTTGTTTCTTTTTACGAACGTTAGTTAGATTGGGAACCCTTACTATTGACGTATTTTGTGGAGCTTCGCTAGTGGATTAGATGAATGATGCCTCCGTCTCTGTGCAGTTGAGCAGTAATATAAGATATTCAATTGAAGATTTGGGTTTTCAAAGTAAGAATTTAGTCCAAAAAGGATCAGAAGGACGCTCTGTGTTTTATATGTTGAGCCAGGAACTATTTCAAACTCCCATAAACATACGCAATACGCTAAAGTACTAGCAAAATTGCGCAACTTATCAGGTTCTAGGCATGTTTGTAGTGTTAGCATATCCGCGGAGCTCCGCAAAACCGATGAGGAGAACCCGGTCGGCCTTACTATCCTTCAGCATCTGTGCAGCGGTGGTGGCGATCGTGGAATAAACATCGGCGCCGATATCGATGAGCTAATTTGACAAGGGGATCATCTTCGAGCTGCGCTTTCAGGATCTCCTTGCATGGGACATTGGCAGTCTCGCAACCAATAATGACCCGGAAGGGAGTAGTGTTGGTACCACACATTTTTATTGAGTATCAGAGGTAGTAGTAGGATGGATAGAATGAAATGATGAGACTTGAAATTATTGCAATACTGAAAGAAAGAGCCTGGCAAAAGAGCTGCCCTTAAATTATATTATTCTGGGAAAAACCAAGCTCATTTTATCACTGAATTTGAGTAGTACTCGTCGTCCACTCTTTCCGCATGTAGATATGTATCTATATGCTTCACTTGGTGCTCGTCTCTGCATCCGAAAACGAACTATAGGTCGCTACCGCGGCCCGGTTGCGTCCATATTGTCGTAAATTGTTTTGGAAATTTCGGTACCGTATTTCCTGTACCATTTGCCAGCCTCAATGTACCCTTCTGGCGGAGCATCATCAATTAATCACATCAAATATGTAGGAAAGCCACCTTGCGCAATAGTCCGCAACCATACCACTCAAGATAGTGGAAATTTTGCTGGTAAGGTTACTTCGTTATGATTCCAGACTGGTTCAAATACTGGTAATATGATATTTGGAGATACTGCTGTCTCTACTACCCCGTCCCGCCTGCAGGCAGCCCGAAAATCGCCTACAACACAACGTATCGCGGTAGTCCAGCGCAAGTCAGCATCAATTGTCAGGAAATCAGACAAACCGAACGAGTATTGTACAGTACGCTTCATGAGAAGATTGACTATTATTCCTGTAAACTCACGGGCGATCCGAGCTGGCTGTCAAGCACGGGAATGCAGGATGAGAATACAATAAATAAAGAATGCTTGGAAAAAATGACTGAGAAACCACATAACCGACATAATGAACACACTATGTAGGGGTGCAGCAATAAAACACAATCATCGTGACTTCAATGATTATTTGGAAGACATGTTCTTGGTTGATCATACAAAGTTGTCTATTGGTCGCGATCGCGTTGGAAAACCGGACGGCTGGAGCCGTCCAGGGCGATCTCTTGTATTGCTGGTTTGACACGGACTACGAAAGCAGCAAAATACCGAGTCCAGTTCACAAATGGATACAACACTACATCCAGAGACTAAAGAATTATTTGAATAAATTTTTTTTATTATCTAGTCCCATGGACTGTAATGATTCATCAACGCGCGATCTCGTTGATCGGTATTCTGCTCTTCGGCCCTCTATCAAGCTTTTTTTGACACATTTTTGAAACACAAGTGCCCTCCTCACGCTGGAAGACGTTGTTGGTATCTGGACATCATCCGATAGAGAGATAGTCTCCTCCCTGTGAATGACTCTAAAATGCTTTTGCGTTTACCTAAGTGTTTCACAGTATGGAAAGACTCAATTTAGCGGCTTCTTGGCAGACATTAAGAACAAGGGAGTAAAAAGCTTCTTCTCTCCCCCCTTCACAAGTGCGTCATGTCCTCGAGCTAGACGTGTTGCAATTTTCTGTGTACCTGGAGGTAAGAGGCCCAACCTCTCACAACCCCCGACAAAGCAATAGGCAGCACCGTGAAAATAGAAAGAGCGAAGGAAAAAAGCCATGTAGTTGAAAACCAACGTATCCTGCAAGGTACTCATCCATTTGAATGATCGTGTTATGGGGTGGTACCAAGGAATATCGCTAGGGCGGTCAGCGAGGTCCTCTGCAGATTCCAGCTTGAAGCCGACCGCTTTGATCGCTTCTACTGCCACCGAGATTGTCACAAGGTTCGTGATGCCGAGACCTTGTTCTATGTTCCAACGGATCGCACGGTGCTCGGGATCATGGTTGTCATAAGCATCCGTCAAAATCAGTTCAAAGACAGCAAGGGTCGCGCCCGGCTTGAGGACCCTGAATATTTCGGCATACACACCTTGAAGACTAGGAGCGTAGGATGTGCCCTCAATGGAATAGGCAGCGTCGAATGAATTTGACTCGAGGGGGATTCGCATAAAGTCGCCCTTGATATAGTGGATCCGGTCCTGCAGATCTTCCTCGGTGTCATAGCGGGTTGCCCGTTGAAGTTGATAATCGTTGTTATTGAGGCCAACAACATGTACGTCTGCAAACTTGGCAATCTCACGGGTCGGTCCACCAATGCCGCAACCGACATCAAGAACCTTTTGCCCCTCTCCGAGGCCCAGGCAACGAGCCAGATGTAGTTCGTGGCGAATGATAGATTGGCTGAACGGTTCACCTTTGGCAATCCGGCAGAAGTGGAAAGAAGTGTTCCATGCGTGTTCAGTGAGATCGGTGACAAGGTTATAGTATCTGCAGAAATATCAGATCGTTATCTCCTGTAAATGAATACCATAGATGGGAGCTCCTATTAACGTGGGATGCATGACGTACTGTTGGGTCAATGAGGCATATTCTGCTCTCCGGGCCTGCAATGAGCAATTGTCATTAGATTGACAAGGAATGGGCAAATAAAACGTATGATTATACCAGTCGAGCATCCTCTGTCTCTTCAGATGTCGTATTATCCCAATGTTTGAAGTAGTCTTCCACTGCTATCTTCTGGGCCTTGAAATCTTTCTTACACATGGCAACCAGGCCACCACGGGCTTCACTCGAGTTTCCATGCAGGATTTCGCTGAATTTGGCATCAAGTCTGCGGTTTAGCTGCACCATTATTATAGTCGGAATAGAGGCTGAACAGGAAATTAAGCGGTCAAATTAAAATGGAAACTATCGAACCAACTCGAAAGAGTTGATGTTGATGATGATGATGATGATGATTAGAATGTGGACAATAGGTAGTATGTACTTCTATTAAACCAAGCAATTGACGCCCTATATATACTTAGACAGGCTAAGCAAATTTTGTGACCTGTACGAATTATGCAGGAATGTCGTAAATTCACGTAGCAAAGTAGTCATGGAAAGAGATCAGCGGTGAGCCTCTTAGTGGCAATCTCACCTCGAGAGAATTGAATAAACAAACTAAGCGGTGCAGTTCCGATGGAGACGTAGTTCATGCTTACTGGTATATGCCGGATTTCCTCTGACAAGTGAGTCTGTTTGGGGCTGATAATGATCTTGCTTATTGAGCATATCGTGGCTTGTCTTTTCCTTGAATGCCGGGGATGCCAGGGTATTGGATGCTGCACGTGGATTGCTTCTAGATTGGATGGCTCTTAGTGGCGGCCCATCGGAAAATTGGTGGCTTGCATGTCCGCAGCAATTTAGTGGAGTGCTACTTAAGACCCTTCTTTTCCAGGGCCTCGACTTTGTACTAGTGTTGCATAAATGGCTAGTTATAGATCCCTTGCTTCTTGTCGCATTTTTACGGTGGATGTAGGTAGCACGGTATGAAGTCTTTACCGATCAACCATTCTGCCACTTTGGAAGATCAACAAAGCCCCCACCCGGATAACCCAGTTAATTAAGTTTGTTGGAGCATCCTTTTGGGGGTTTGTGACTGTATTGCCCTAATCATCCTGACCACACTAATGTGGCATCAGAGCTAGACCCATACTGTATATGACTGGATCTACTAGGGTCAGGTGACTCACAACAACTTGACAAATACAGAAATGTAACAGATCATATAACAGGACTCACCCTTACTTCACCAATCAACCGCTTGCCACTGCAGTCTGGTCTGTGCTTCTCTTTCTTTCTCTTTCTTTCTCTTTCTTCTAATAAAACACATGATTCCGCCAAGTACGTTAATCCTACATTAATTACTTTCTTCCCAATTCAAAATTTCAGGAAGCCTGCTCATATTGGTATATGACTACGTGTCCCGGCGGCTGTCACAATGATGCCACACATTCTTCCGGTAGCATTGTTTTTTGGCACAGGAATAGTGTATCTTCTGACCCGCCGTGTACAAAAGGCCAAGGGAATATGGGTGAGTACAATGATAGAGTCATTTCAGATCTTGGTGGATAAGACAAATACTCAGCACAAGAACTAGGTGGATGTCCCAGTTGTCGGCGGTAAAACAATGCTAGCATCGTGGATAACAGCATTCCGTTATACCCGTCACGCGCGTGCATTGGTGGAAGAAGGCTACAAGAAGGTAAGTACAATTTGGCCTGGGATGAACTAAATTATGGATATCCTGACAAGAACACAGCACAAAGACTATGCCTTTCAGATCCCGTCATTGTCGGGCTGGCGAATATTCATCTGTAATCCTGCCATGATCAAAGAATACCGAAACCTGGACTCGGATCAAATGTCTCTTAATCCGATCATAGACGATGTAAATCCCAATCTCAGAGCTCTTGCAGCTATGCCATGGATACTAATTGTCCTTAGTTATTTCAGACAATGTACACCATGCACGGTGGAGCCGACAGTATCCACAAAATACCGATCCCAACCGTTACCAGAGGTCTAAACTGGCAACGAAAGAAAGCCGAGATCAAGGATGATAACTACTTTGTGGAATTTGTCAATGAGGGCAAATACGCATTAACTACCAAGCTCCGTATCGCAGACAGTGAGAAAATACCAACTGAAAGTGACTGTATTTAATACAAGTAATAACATTTCTAGATTCCGGCTGGACTCCCATCCCATGCTTCGATATCTGCGCGGAAGTTGTTACACATCTCACAGCCTGGACGTTCGTGGGACCCCCCTTTTGCCGGGAAGAGACTCTTTTACGACTACTCCAAACATATGCAGAGGTGGTGCCTACAAGCGGATTTTTTATTTCGAGCTTTCCAAACTTCCTGAAACCGTAGGTGATCCAACCTACGGGAGTGACATGGAATATCATAGCGACTCTACTGATCATGATGTCGATAGTCTAGCGGCCCTGATGTGCGCCGCTCCTAGAGTTTCAAGGCGTCTCGAACATGAAGTGTCTGAAGTACTTACGCAGAAGCGAGTACTAGGCGTAATGGATGCGAAAGTATCAAATCCACCAAGAAGTAGATGTCACCAACAACTCATCTGAAACTGACCAATCATCTAGGATCTAGCAGGATGGATGATGGATTGGGTTGATAACAATGCCGCGTCACGGCTCAACGACCAAAGTATCTGTTTGCAAATTGTGTCTCTAAGCTTTGCAGCGATACATAGCAGTGCGCAGGTAGGTCATAGTCCATATTTGTGCCTCATATTGCTAAACGTTCCAGGTTCTGACGCATTGTCTGTATGAAATTTCCCTTCGAAGCGAGTACGTTCTACCCCTCCGTGAAGAAATCGAGAAGTGCCTGAGGAAGTCTGGAGGCTGGAACAAGGTGGCCATTGAGTCGATGCAAAAGCTCGATAGCTTTATCAAAGAATGCCAGCGCTACAACACGATGGATTCTGGTACGAACCTTACAGATCGGCCAGGAAAGCCTGCCAGCTATATGACGCATATACTTACCGCTTCGCCCGCAGGATCTTTAGCCCGTCGAGTCAAAAAGGATTTGATTTTCTCTGGTGGATTGGTCATACCTTCCGGAAATGACATATTTTCTCCTAATACTCCGGCTCTCTTTGATAAGAATATGTACTCCGATCCCGACAGGTTCGATGGCTTCCGTTTCTATCGAATGAGGAAACAAGTCGGGCAAAATGAAAGCCACAAGTTGATATCGACCAGTCCAACATACTTGAACTTTGGCGACGGGCGTCATGTTTGGTAAGAGGTCCCAACGTCTATCGTGAGCAGTGAAGACCCAATATCGCTGACAAATTCTCCAGCCCTGGGCGATACATGGCCGCGGATATGATGCGTCTGGTCTTAGCCCATATAATAATGCACTATGATGTGGCCATTAAAGATCATGGGCCACGACCGGCAAATCGAACCTTCAAAACTTTTCTATTGCCTGACATGACAGCAGAGATCATGCTACGGCACCGGTGTAGTTGAATACTCATGATCTGCTCGGTGCTGTTTCAATAATGATACTCCTCAATAGAGAGAAGAGGAAACAGGAAACATACATGGTCCTAGCTGCTCCAACCTTTCCATCAATGTATCCTTCCTTTTGTCCAATCCAATCCATTGCAGAAAATAGGAGGCTGCAAATTGAGCATCAATAGGAGACGGATACACAAGGACCAAGTAATAATGGTAGAAATTTCCGGTGAATCCAAGTGTGTCTCTTTCCATATTACTTGAGATGTTAACACTAAATCTCGGACATTGCTCTCACTCAGTATGATATAACTATATCACTTAATATACAATTCAAAAAACAGCCCGCAGCTACGAGCTAGTCCATCTCTACCCTTTCTTAGCTTAATAACCTCCTTGAGCGACATGTGAACAGTTCCGAGTGTCAGTGTAAGATACGCTTGAAGATAAATGGAATCATTCAGCATCGCTCGGACACTCTGTGTGGCTTTTTAATTAGGGCATACGTGCGTCTCGGTTATGCGGAAATTTTATTAAAGGGTGCACACAGATAGATGAGACTCGGATCCGTCTCCCTCCTTTGGTTTCCCCTCTGGTTCTGAGTCTTCTTTGCACCGAATTCTGAGATCTCTGTCCGCCCAACCTACAGCCAAATTTTCCGCTGGGCAGCTGAAATAGCATATTCTATTTCCCGTACTGTCAGTGTTTGCAGAGTTATGTCGGGTATCATCTCGAAGACTCTATCGGGCTGCTCGGATACTGCGTGCCCGAAGGATCTTCATTCAACACGTGCCACACTTCCATGGGGCCGGCGAAATGACGCATCCTATTTTACCGGTGCCGCATGTGCTGTAGCCATAGCTGTGTGTCCCACGCTGACAATATTTTGGTGGATCACCCTACAATACTATGATGCTGGCCTCTCGTCAGCTGTTGTTTCACTCAAGGCAGAAGGACTTGTCGGTTTCCTCCGCCAAAATTTTCCCAAGACGAGCCTGAAAGCTTGTGTTGCTTATGGAGGATGGGTGATCTTTCAAACAATTCTATATGTAACTCTTCCAGGCAAGAAATGCACAGGACAGTTAACACCAGCGGGTAACCTTCTTGCCTACAAAACTAATGGCCTTTTAGCTTGGACAATGACGGTGTTCCTTGCAGCTTGTGTTTGCGCAGCGGGGTTGGTCGACCCAGCCGTGGTCGCAAAGCATTGGGGGAGTCTGTTGGTGGTGCTTAATGCGTATGGCTTCATACTAACCTTAGTATTCTATGTCAAAGCTCATGTTGCCCCTTCTTATCCTGAAGATAGCAAGTTCAGTGGTATGCTAAATCAAACACGAATCCTTGGCCCTTTTAACCAGCTAATATTTCGCAGGATCATTCTTCTATGACTTGTACATGGGGATCGAATTGAATCCGCGTTTCGGTCACTATGGAGATGTAAAGCTGTTCCATAATGGGCGCCCAGGAATTATCGGGTGGATCCTAATGTGAGATTGATTATTATTTTCCACGCTTTGATGACGTCTCAGTTTGACTGGTTCTGTAGTGACTTATCTTTCACTGCACTACAAGTACAACGCTATGGCTACATGACAAATGCAATCATTGTCGTTGTCTTTCTTCATTCTATCTATATCATCGACTTTTTCGTCAATGAAAGCTGGTCCGTATTTGGTGATGTTTTAAAGCTAGTGTGTTGCTGACGGCGGGATCGGCAGGTACCTCAGGACCATCGACATTGGCCACGATCATTTTGGATTTTATCTCTCTTGGGGCTCTGCAACATGGCTTCCCATGATGTACACTTTACAGACCCAGTACCTTGCAATCCATCCTATCCAAATCCCTGCTATAAATGCAGCTATGATCCTGGTAGCTGGGTTAGGAGGCTACCTATTATTTCGATCTGCGAACCACCAGAAATATGCGGTACGATATACCAATGGGCAATGCATGATTTGGGGTAACAGACCAGTCTATATCCGCTGTTCCTATAAGACGGCAGACGGAATTACTCACAAATCCATCATACTGTGCTCCGGTACGTTTTAGCAGGTGTCAGAGGTTGTTTAATTGATATTATCTCCCTGGGCAACATATGCTGAATGATGATATATATAGGGTGGTGGGGCATTGTGCGTCATGCAAACTACTTAGGAGATCTTGTACTATCGTACGCTATGTGTGCAACTTGTGGAGTTGCCCATTTGCTACCATGGACTTATGCTCTATACATGACAGCTATCTTAGTACATCGCTGCTACCGAGATGAGGCACGCTGCCGCAAGAAGTATGGTGGTTCTTGGGATGCATATTGTGCTCAGGTCAAGTGGAGACTGGTACCTGGCATTTTCTGAAGTGGTTATTATTTGGAAGTGTCGACCTGATAGGTGGTATTTTACCACTAGGTGTCATAGTTCAGCGGATACTCCCCCATCCCCTTATTTGTGTAGTAAATCAGGTCTCCAAAGAACGGAGGAGCTCCGGTATGATAACACCAGTGTTTTACAAGCGAAAGACTCTTCAATAGCGGTCATCAGCACGGATAGTCAATTAATAAATTCATTCTGGCTAATTCTCTCGCCATGACTAGGCTATACGGCGTTCCTTAAAACCAATAAGAAAGCACATTCATGTCATATAGGGTCTAGCTCGCATGAAACCGCCGATCATGGTGAGATCCGGCCTGTATCATGACGCTTGTTTCACAATACATTAGCATGCAGGACTGGATTATCTAGAACCTCCAAGATAATATGGAATAACAGGCTTCTACACATCTCTCATCTGCTTATACTAGAAATTGCCCAGGGATCACTCGTACAATCTGCAGTGGCTTGTTGTTATTGATTGTCTAGCTGAATCGGCTCGCACACCTCCGAGTGGGCTGCTTTGAGCGTTCCCCTCTTCACTACTTACCTTACACCACCGCTACCAGCATCGACTTAGCGTGCAATACGAGCAGTCATATGAAGAAAACCCCGGTCAAGATATTGTCAGTTTTCGACTTATATTAGAATTGCCAGTGCAAGGGAACAAAGCGCAGAAGGCCATATCTGTCATACAGGCCTAACGATTTATGATGTATAGCAGGTCAGGTGTGTGTTAGTCGTCCCAGTATCTAACGGGTGACATCTTTGATAATACTGTACTACATGAACCTTGAATAAGGTGGGAAATATAGTCACAAGGCTCGAAACGAAGCCTTTCTATTCGCATGACAGTACAGGAAAACCTGAACCAGGGAAACATTGACCAAGGCCGAAAAAATGGAGGGGCAATTAAGTCTAAAGTGGAGTCCGCACTTTTCTTTCTACATATACAGAATCAGTCATGAAACCGAAGATCAATAGCGCAAATAATATAAAGTCCTTTCCAATACTTGCAGAATCAAAGCATTCCGAACGGGAGTAATACTTTCCTCGTCGATCCCTCCCGGGTCTCGTGATGACTCCCTTACTTTCCATTCTCGACCCTTCCCTAGTCTCATGCCGATCCCCTTATTTCCCCCGTCGATCCTTCTCACATTCCATGTCGATTCCCTCCTCGATTTCATTCCTGGATCATCAAACTCTGTGCCACCTGACAAATCACAGAGAGCTATTAGCGATTTGTGTAACAGTGACTGCTATGTCCTTTTGAGAAGAAGTCGCCCTGAGTCTATATAAACTGCCCCTGTTCCCCTCAGGGGCGGTGAGCATCATATCTTAGCCCGTCACACTAGCTTTGACACTACGATACTTTACTATCATTCTGCTTCCTACCTCTACCCGCCGTCAATATGTTGCCATACAGACTCTTTGTTTTGATTGTGGCTTTCATGTGTCCGGTCTTTGCCAGTCCAATACCATCCCCAGCACTTGCAGGTTTTGATTTGACAAGCCGCAAGCCGCGTGAAGATTACTGCACTGAATCTATCGAGCGATACAGTCCAGACAAACAACAATGGATGAAATTCCGCCATTGTCTCTGGGTGAACCCTGATAGTGGGAATGCCGAACTCTTCACCTACATTGATGACGTGCAGTATTGGAAAATTTCCTGGTATCGACCATCTAATTACCTCTGGAGTGTGGACGCGCACTTGATTGGGGAATTACTTGTTTCAAACTCTGGGACAGCATCAGGCACGAACGTTAAGAGGGAGATTGGAAAAATCGAAGATTCGATTAAGCCTGGGCGCCACGAATGGAATATTGGGTTAGGGGTAGACATAGACGAGGGTTCACAAAGCCTGATTTACGACGCCGTGTTTACTTTTGACATTGACTCTGTGTAGTCCTCCCGGTCAATTGAAGTTACTATTATGTAAGTCAGTGCTCTTGACCCGCTTGAGATGCGAACTCTAGCAGGCTTGTAGCACTTTCAAAATGGACTAACATGTATTCAATCCTAGATTTTCAGTAACGCAGGGTCAACTCCTGGAAAGGTGACAGACAAGGTTAGGAACTTGTACTTGGGAAATCACGGCCAAATAGACAAATCAGCAAGTCCGTTGCTTCGAAATATTGTGCACGTGGGTTTTTATCAAACTCTGCCGCTAAGATTCCAGTTTAACACCGAACTTGCTGCCAGTCAACGCCCGCTCGGTCGTACTTCGATCAGAGAAAAGGCTTTTGGCTCACATATTCTGGTGGCTCATAAGTGACTCTGGCACTTTGGCTAGCGGTAGAGGGTGGCTGGCAGGCGAGTGTATAATGTTCGTAGCATATGGTATTCCAGCACAGACTTAGATTCTATCAGGCTGACAAGGGACATACCTGTCGCAGGAACACTCGCTTGGATTCTAATGATCAAAGAAGCTAGTGATGATTGATATTGGATAAGCTCACTTGATCGAGGCTTATAATGGCGTGCATGCGTACGGGAGAGTTCGGTGCCTAGTCTGGACTTGTAACCTTCATCCTGGCTGGCAGGCATAGTCCAAAATAGGACAAAACGTCAATACGTAAGAAAGCTGGCTGACTTGGATGAATGGGGTGTGTATTTTTCGTGTCAGTACTGTACCGGAAAAGACTCGGAGAAAATCCAAGCTGGGGGAACTTATCATGAGTCTGCTGCAAGAGAGCATCTAATGGCTTCTTTGTTCGAGAGCATCCACCTAATACGGCAAGCCAGTGATTTAGTTCGACAAACTGCTGGGGAAGAGGCGGTATTTATAGACTTTTCAGTATGTCTTATTGCCGCCTGCTTCATATTGCAGCAGTCTAGTCTTGTCTGTCTGTGGCCAAGGTTGAGGGGCATTGAAGATACCTGTGCAAAGTGAGGCCTGTTGAACCAATTCCTTTACTGAAGTGATAGTCTGAGCAACAATCGACTGCAGGCCGGTGATTCTACGGGAAACCCTTTCCAGAGCCACGCCGTGTCAAGTCTTTGCGCAAAATTTCGTCGAAGCACAAATTGGTTCACCATAACTCGTTCACGGTCCAACGTTGAATCACCAACCGTAACTTTCAACAATTGTAGAACAATGTGGAACGCGATCGCCACTTCACTGCCAGCGATGTGGACTATTACCACCATCATTTCTCTTTCAGCACTGACCGTAAATCTGAAGCCCAAGCCGATCCCATTGTTTTGGGAATTGGTCGTCTCACATTGTGAGTCTTGGTATGCGTCAAGCGCTTTCCTTTGCCGAGTCGCGATCACGCCGGGACCTAGCTACGATCAACGGTAGACATCTTTATTGAGAACAATGCCAGGGTTGTTTGCACAGAAGATTCGTCTATAGTCTTCCCTCCACAAGGACCGCATAGAACACAGACTTTACCACGAATTCAGAGACAAAGAAACAGCCAGACTTGCTAATTATAGCTAAGAGAAACGCACATTGATCCTATGGTCTGCGGAGGCACTATCTAAACACGTGCATTGTGACTGGGCGCGTTGCCGATGCGACCTAAACACCTCAGCCTAGAACGTGCGGGTGTCTTCAAACCTCTACGCGCGGTTTTCAGAGCTATATATGAGCACGATTCTCACAGCATCCTCGTTAATCCATGAAAACAAATCTCACAGGGGTTTCAATCAATTCAATTGTGTCTTGCCTCTATGGCCCACTGTGCTTGACCCGCCGAACCAATATGCTACCCCCTTCCTTGTTTGCGAGCTAACGCTCATATTTAGGCAATTATTGGAAACCGGCTTTCTCTTAACGACATAGTCAGGTCACAGCGCATTTAAGATCCCGCCACTTCGAACGATAGCACATCTCCGCATACCTAGCCTCGGTGGGTTCGTGAGATGCCAACAGCCGCAGCCCACCAGTCGACACAAATACGACTAGAATGCAAGTCACTGATATGCGCTACTATCTCCTCCCGGAGCCGAATGTCGATAAGCCTGCAAGCAGCGTTCCGAAGCGCTGGTGCGAGATTACACCGTCGCTGGCATCGTGCGCTCGAGTAACAGGCCAAGCCGGCGCTCACAAAAGCCTTTAGCCTACGCGCCGGTTATCTCAATAATAAATCGAAATACTGCTCGCTGCGATAAACTCTCCTCGCCGTTCCGCACTGCTAGTGTACGAGTGATACTCCCTTGGACTAGTGACTCAGTGTGTGCATAGCCCATCGCCAGTGCTACATAGGATTCTTCATGAAAGGAGTTAGCTCTGAGACACGGGCGGAAGTTCGAATATGTGATTACTGTAGCTCCATGTACGCCATGTGGCATGTGTTTTGGCGAATACACTTAGAGATCCTTCCCAGAGCCGGGAATCCCCGCCCCATTTACAGCATGGTCGGTGCTAGGATCCCCTAAACCATTCCTGGGAGCTGTAGCGCTCCTAGAACGCTCGATAAAGATCTCAGGGACATATTTCTGCTTTCAGGGATCCGTGTGGGGTGTCCTGGGGACCGTGACACTTTGATTCTACGCGGGTTCTTTTTGTGAGACCTGGTCTTGGAACCTTAGACGATGAATTCTTTCAAAAATTGAGTATGATAGGCTACAATGTGCATATAAGGGAAAGCACACACGGCGCTGTGAGGCCCCCGGCGATCAATTCCGCTATCTGCTGGATTCATTCCCCGAACACAATCCAACACGGCAAAATTACACTATAATGCTTCAGAACTTCCAACAGAGCTCTTGCACTGGATTTGCGGCTTCCTTCAAAAAGAGCACATTATGTATCTATGCCTGGTCTGTCGTGGAACCAATTATATTTTCACCGAGGGGCTCTTTTTGTGCCTCATCTCCGATAAATTCCCACCACTCTTTCGTGCCGGCGGAAATACTGCTACAGTTGAGCGGATTCTTGAATTCCAAGAGATTGATGTCAATGACCGATGCTCGGACGGATTTTCTGCCATAGTGTACGCGCTGAAGCATCGTAACCCTCGAGCTGTCAATAACGAAGACAATCTCGGGTGGACGCCATTGCAACTTGCGGTTCTTGAAGGGGATCATATCGCCACCCAGATGCTGGTACGACACGCAGGAATCATTAATCATCAGAGCTCTAACGATGATGCGTCTCTCCTTTTCGCTGTGAAAAAGCTCAATCACCAGCAATCTATCCTCATCGTCGATGCTCTTCTCCTACATCCGGAACTTGATGTGAATGTATTCGAATCCCAAGGGCGTACAGCCTTGTGGCACGCTGTTAATCGTGGTCACCATGATCTCGTGAAATTACTTCTCAGCCAAAGGTATTTGAGATTGAACGACGCTGATAGATATGGGGTGACGCCATTGGCCCGAGCTGCTGAAAAGCACGTTTTCCAGATTCTTGAACTGTTATTGAAACAGCCGGAAATCCTCATAAACCCGTGGACTAGACAGGTAATGCCTCTGCTTTGGTCTGCATGCCGCGCCGGCAACTTTCACGCGGTGGAGGCTCTCCTTCGTCTGAGGTCAATCAAAATCAACCAACAAAGCCCTACTGGAACTACCCCGCTCCAAGTAGCTGTTATCCTGAATCGTCCCCCAGTAGTCTCTCTTCTTCTTCGACAAGGAACCATGGTTGATATCAATGCCCCTGGTCCTCAAGAATGGACTGCCATTTTCTTTGCCGTATCCAATGGGTATTTCTGGCTGACCAAATCATTGCTGAAACATCCTGATATTAATATCAATATATTAAATGACCGCAGGCGGACACTGCTTTGGTGGGCAGAGCATGGCGGGCGTTCAAAAGTTGTATATCTGTTGCGCAGGCACGGTCGACTGAAGAGGCAGAAGCGTTTTTTTGCGGTGAGGTGGGTCTAATTGAGCTACAATTCTAGATTTCAAGTGCTAGGCAAGGCGCTACATTCAGCATGGTACGCATTATAATAATATAATCAACATTCTCATTCCTAGGTGGCCCTTTTCAAGGCGCTACCCATTCTACTTTGCATGAGAAGAGTAAAAGGAATAATTAATGACTATATGGTTAGTTTCCATAGCTTTGTGGCCCAGATTTGATGTTAAACCTCCTTGTCATTTTCACTTCCTCACATCCCGGTGATAGTACTCTTCATTATCATCGTGTTCGTGATATGAAGCAATTGAGCGCGCCTGACTGCATTCCTGATCACGGGTTGATGACAAGTTGACCGCGAAGCCTTGGCCTTGTTTTGTTCTCAGGTACCTAAGACGAGTACTTAAAGCTTTGTCTCCCAGTTTATCAGCTTCTTCCTTTATCCTTCAAAAGTGCATCAGAAGAGTTCTCTAGTGAAGTCCATCTGCTTTTGACCCACACAATTCTTTCTGAACTTTGTATTCAAGATTTCCTCCTGCCAAAAATGGAACGAATCGAGCTACAAAGTAAGTCTATAAGTGGAACAGCTTCGATATTGAATTCCATGTTATTTCGGCTGAAATATGCTAGTTTGAATTGTCAAGAATTGGTGTTGTGCCTCGGCCGCTGGTGAATTACGTTATGGATAGTGATGTAAGATTTCCTGAATCAGGCCAGCTTTCTAGGCCAGCCTTTCGACGTAAGCACAACTAATGCTCCATTTGGACTGAACTGCCAAGCGGAGCTTGTGTGAAACCAAGCACATTTAAGATCATTGTGCTACTATAACATCTATTCATGAATTCTATTTACAATTATTCGTGGTAAGCGATTTCTCCACGATATTTCACCTAGGGGCTGATGTCACCCACGAACCGTCGGGCAGCTCCTATCTTTACTGTACAGCATGCGTAACGAAGAAACTCGGGTCTTGATCCTCATGAATCTGCATCAGATTGAGACAGTACTTAAGGTTCATATTGCGTGCTTTGTTGATTTAATCTCTAAATGTCTTGTTATTTACCCGTGACTGCTACCATTCCGTATATTCATTCACAGCCACATCAAGAAACCCGGGGATATTTAATGGTTCAATAGAGTGAGGTCTATTAAGACTAGCTTCATGGAAAGGCAAAGTAGACAATAGTATTTGACAAGAGCTGGCCGGTAGGATGTTGTTGTCAATGTTGATCGGAGGATATATGGAATGGCTTGAATGGTTATCCGAACTTTTTTTCTTTTTGAGTCGCTTTTTTCCTCCTTGTAAAGCTGCTAACGAAAGTTGTCGGGAATACTATCATGAGAGTCGAGGAATCCACCTTCCTCCACATATCTAATGAGGTCCTTTAAATGTTGCGTCCTCAAGCTATAATGCTTCTTGCCCTCTAGGTCTTATCAGCAGTATTGCCCTTTATGGCGGCACGGAGGCCCAGGATTTCGCATGACACGATATGCATCTCTCCAGACTGGGTTATGCCCAAAGGTATACTCATCATCAATCTGAGCGTCTCGTTTAGTGAGCATTCGCTTGGTCACAGATGATCCTCCTCCCTTGTTAGTGCTAGAGGGAAGAGATCCGCTATTATCTATGTAATTAATAGCTATCTGAAGCCGGATCGTCTTGCCACAATCAAAAAGATGGGCCCACGCTAGTAGTTTTTTCTCTCCGTCCTGCTAATTAACACTAGTACCCTCGAAATGTTTATCTATATTCCGTTGAGAGTTCACCGATAACATCATAATAGTATTATTAAATCTTACCCGCCGGGTGCGGGCAATCTTTTCTTCAGTCTTATAATCTTACTAGCGTCCGTTTCGACACATTTACCAAGTTGTCGACAGGATTCTAGAGCGCCTGTTCTGTCATTGGCAAGCTGACCGCCCGGGTCGACTTCTGGTAAACATATTAGGAAAAGAGTTCGAACGAAAGCAGGTAGTATAATACCATCATCCCAGATAGCCCACTAGGATCTACTGGTTAAATCAGCGTGCACAAGGAAGCGGAGGCCTAAATTTAGCTTACCCAGCACATAAACTTAGACAAGACCAGTAATCTTTCTTGCGAGGCCCCAGGATAGAAGACCGCTTGCACCATGACGAAATTCCACTTTCTGAGGAAAGTTTTGCTCTTTTCGCTCAATTCGAGACTAGTGGGAAAAATGAGCGAAAGTGGATCCAATAATGGGAACAGCGTAGAACATGCGTATTTAGCCAAGAGCTGTAGTCCTTTTCCGTGGCATGGATATGGGGGTTGACTTCACAGCGCCAGCCAGGGAAAAGGGAAAGTAAGTTTGGTACAATGATTTTCTGGTTTTTGTCTCTCTATCAGATTCGTTCGTTCGGTGGTTGACTCTGGTGGGCTAGCAGCCATCATGTTATGTTGCGAGTGGGATGCCAAAAAGATTAAGATTCAGATGAAAACAATGCAGTTTCTTCGGCCTTTGTTTCCTTTATATTCTTTTTTGTTGAGCTTAACTCATGCAATAATGTTACATTTCCGGCATTTGGTACAGTATGCGCATTTAGCGCGATCCTTGTCTGATGTACGTGGCAGCCTTCTGAAGGCAATTGAAAATTTACGCTCGTTGGGTTCTTAAAATAGCGTGGCGTCGCAGTCGATCGGCTTTACTTTATCGGCACAATTGTCCAGTTCAAAGTACTCGGGTCCTTATAGAGGCAGATGAGTCGAGCAGGCAGCTCGTGCATAAGCCAAACAGATCCACAAGAAATGTCGGCAATGGTCGAGAGGGGTTGCACCAATTTGGGACAGCAAATGTGATACATTCAACTTCAACTTTATTCAAGCTACATAAGATATTACCATCTTGTAAATTATCTATCACATGCTTCAGATATCCTATACTTGGGAGTGGGTTTACTCCATGTTCCAGGTTGGGATGGAGGGGAGCGACATACGTCATAAATCGGCAGATGAGCATATCAAAGAGGCTGCCAGTCCATCAATTGCAAAGTCGCTGGCTGAAGGAGTACATTGGCTTGAAAGGGAGATATGCGAGGCTGTCATAGTCTTTCAAATATCTACAATAGAGCTAGGGCTGCACGAGAATAAAATTTTTGCTTAATCGTATTCGACTTTTTCCGAATTGTCTTTATTCGTATCATAAAATACCTTTAGAAGGCTTCAGATTTCTGAATATTAGCTGAGGTCGGCTTGAATCTGACGTTGCCAAGCGATTGTGTGAAGTGAAAAATGACGGGAACTGCCGCCAAAAATACAATTCAACGAAAATTCGCGACTTAAATGGGCCGAAAATTCTCATCTATTCCGATTCGTGTGAAGCCCTAAATACAGCTTCTTGGGACTCAATCCTTGATTTTACGATACTTCACTGACCAACAAAAAAAGAAGGATCGACCTTGCTATGAGCCTAGCCTCGGTGCAGATTATGGCGATTCTGCCGACTTTGACAAGAGTAGATAGATCTAGGGGCCAAAACACGAACAAGCCTCGCACAAACACGCCCATTGTCTTGAAACTTTACTACTCACTTTTCCTCAAGGGTACAATTTGTAAATCCCAGATAGAGCTACGTCATTTCTGTTTCTATGTTGTTAAACTCATGCATTGCCAGCACGCAGTGCATAGTGTGATAGCACTTACAAATAGACTCAATACGATTAACAGCCAAGAAATTGTGCATATAGTTTGCCCAGAAAGTGTAACAAAAAAACAAAATTAATGCCTTTTTTTTTAAGCAGAAAGTTTATCATAGGCCATTGATACAGGTCCGCTCGAACTTGGTTTCACCGCTTCATTCTCTTTGGTTCTTCTAAATTCTTGACCCACTTTTGTCTACATATGGCCTAGAACATCTTAAAACATCCAATAGAAAGATAGTGGCGGTCCTCAAGTACTCCTACTAGAGTTGTGTTTCCTTAACGTAGGCCATCTTCTACTTGCGGAGAGGGTTGTGGGTCGGCAATTCCGTTTTTGCGGCACTAGTATTTTTCATACAGCAAGTTACATGGTTGTTTTCTTCCGGAGTATTCGCCTTTTCAGTACTTTTGTCTTATGTACCTTTCTGCTGCCAAGAGTGTCACCAAAATCGATGACCTTTCATGCAACATGATTTTGATGGTATAAAGACCCATAGAGGTGGCTGGGTAGGCGAAATAATGGACGTCTGTCCTTCCTATCCATCTCTAGCGTTTATGTGGATGATTTTAGCGTCATAGTAGTAAACAGCGGATTTTCTAGTAGTGTGTGTCGTCTTGTAATTCGCCACTCTAACCCTTTGTGATCGTGGTTTGAAAACAGCTATCGAATAATGATTCAGGTAACTATTGTTTCTGCTCGCCTCTGACATTATTCAATATGTGAATTGGGAGTGACTGAGCTCGAAAGTGCAGGTACCTGGTGGACGTTTCATCACACAGGGCATTTCATATCACCGGGATGGGGGTTAGTTTGTTGTTTTGTTTCTACATTCGATGGGACCAGCAAGAAGCTCGCATTTTGAGCTTCGTGAGGTCACCAATGGGCTGGTCGCCACCTTTCCGCTGTCGGCGGGCCCGACAGCACTCCCGCATAGCAGCATTTATATAGAGCGAGCTACATCGGGCAAATGAATTCATCATCATCATCATCATCAATCTACCCTCACCCAGCATTAAATGGTTATGAGCCTCTGTGGTCCGCCGTCGTTCTTGAAATGTCTTTTTTCCAAAATGGCTTGTGCTGGCAAGGTGTTGTCAAAGCCTCCAATTTACCTGCAGTCACCTCTCCGTGCCAATATGAGCATGGAATACGGGAATCCGCGGTGGCTGAGGTTTGCTGGGGTTTCAGACAGCTCAACTCTCCATATGGGAGAGACCAAGTATTTCCGGAAGCTTGTGAATGCACCTGGGAGATATTTGCCCTTCAAGCGCTTTTGGCATTCATATTATCTGTCTTTCCTTGTCTTGCTTGATACGTTCGCGACTCTGGTTTTCGATTGCCATGCCTGTACAGTACAAACAGACAGTG